GCACATGAACTTAAAAATCTCAAAGACTATTAAAAACAAAAACCTTGAAATGTTAATTTCAGTTCATTTCAGTTCAGGTTTATTTATATAGCACTAAATCCCAATAACAGTCATCTCAAGATGCTTATACCCAACAGTAATAGAGAGAAAACCCCAACAAAAATCAAAAACACCAATAACAATATACACATATTTAATATTATGGTACAGTTAGAGTACCATCTGAAAGCTCCAGACCCTTCTTCTATTTGGATTAGAGTATCTACTGATATTTTTGCTTTTCTGGTAACACTTGTCCTACATTTTTTGATATATCTGTCTAAGTTACAGAACCGGTTCACTGTGATGGACCAGGGAAAATTTTGGGCTTTGAGACATCGATGCTCAAACATTGCCTTATGTGAATCGAAGATGGTGAAGCTAGAAATGCTCTAAAAATTAGGATGGAATGACCTATATGTATATCTGCAAGTTCCTTTCTTAAGGCGCACAATATAGCGAGGCGAATGTTTAAATCAAGCGTGAAAGCTGATTTACAAACGCTTGCGACACGCGTTTTACTGCAGCAATATTTAATGTTGACAGAAGCATGTCTTATTTTATTGCGCTTCACATTAAAATGAATTGACTGCGTCTGTGTTTGGAAAACAACATTTGCCCATCACTCATAAAATTTACCACGCCTGTGAGCACTATTTGCGCTCACGTGCTACTTTTCTCCGTTTTGTAAACGTGGCCTTAAGAAGGCTAAAGTTGACACTGAGATCTGAGTGGATGTCAGTGTGGTGGGCATAGCCACGCTGCAGAGTTTAGCATTTTAAAGTGTTTTGCTAGCTGAATCCTGTCAGTTAGTAAAACTTCTCCAACAATAATGAGAACAAAACTAAAAATTATTAATTATTTTTCACTCTTATGTGACACAGACTAATTCCCTCTACTTTACTGTCAGTGTGAGCAAGCTCTTTTGTAGTCCACCTCCACTGAACAGATGCTCTCTGAACGGAAGTTGCTGTTATCCACTTGGTATCGATTGCCTTTAGGGGGGGGAAAAAATCAAGGCAGCTTTAAAAAAAAGTGGAAATAAAAGGGTTACACCAGCATCAGTATCCCACCACGCGATATTAACGTTGTAACAAAGAGACACTTTTAACTGTGCCTTCTCTTTGCTTGTTTGTTTAGTTTGCCGTTTTTGGACTGCAGCGCTTGTGCTGAGAAATCTAATGCACTGAAATTGATTCTCATCCGATGTCTCTGTTCTAGCACCACAAGAATATAATGTACATGCTGTTTTATCACTCAGACCTGTGAATCTTTCAATACAGGTTCAGTATCATCGCTCTAACCTTTAGTGGAGGAGGATGGATGATGAATCCAGCAGTGCAGAGAGAGCAGCACTGTGGGTGTTTCTGTCACTGATAGACTTTAATTATGCACCAGGAGCTGCTACAATAGGAGAAAACAGCAACCTTGATATAAAATAACTGTCATAATCATTCTTATACTTGTCTGTGCTTATAGAAACTTTAATACGGTCAAAACAAAGCTGATTGGAGTCACACTGATGCCACAAGGTTTAAGCTTTTCCATATTTTGCCCCCTTTTCTTATTGACTTACAAATAAACCTCGCAATTGTTTCACAGTGTCCTATATCAGATTTAGGCAATGCTTTCATTAGAGCATTCACACATGAACAACTGTATAATTTATGTGTGTTTCGTGGTAACATTTACACATAGACAGTTTACAGTCTATGTGTGGCATGTATATTGAGGAGGAAGTCTCTTTTAACAGGCCTGTATAATCAGGCCTCTGGGGCAACATTATCACATAAAAGCATACAAGCAGGTTTGAATATATGAATAAATAAGCAAACAAGATGCTGTGTGTGTGTGTTTCAGAGAAAGAAACACATTAAAGCGACGTCATCTAAGAGAGGAAAATGGAAAGGAGACTGAAAGTGTCGCAGTGTGTGTGTGTGAAAGAGTTCTCCCACCTGACCTGCAGGGTCAGAAGGCTAATAGCAACATGGTAGTAAGCCGTGAGTGACTCATTCTCCACCTCTGGGCTTGAATGGCATCCCTACAGTAATTTGCAATTATATTAAAAGCTGCGTCACGGCCCGGCAGGGGCGTTTCTTGTCTCATTTGACGTACTTTTCCAAATTCTGCTGAGAGAAACTGAGCCAGTGTTGATTTTGCATGTTTCAGGTATCTTGTCACACTGCTTGTTTTTTTTCTTTTCTAGTCTTTTTGGACCGTCTCTGATGTTTGGTTTTTTTTGCCATTTTTTTCCCCCCATTTTTTTGTCTGTTTTATCATTCACTGGCTGTGATCTGTAGACTTTTCAACTGCTGGGACCAGGTTTGTGAGCCACAACATGAAATGGAAGCTGACTAAAATACAAGATTGTTCAAATACATAATGCATGCCTTGAGTCAAACTCCAGGCCTAAGGTGTGCATCATCAGGCACAGCTGCATTAACTGCTCCCATTTCGAGTGACCCCAGGCCCACCTTGGTCCACACCTTCTCATCCATGGAAAATTCAGACTGCTCTCTTTCCTGGGGCATCAGACACTGCTGTTTCATTAGAGCTGCTAGAGTCTCACTTCTACCCATGAGGAGTCCTTTCTAGCCCCGGAGTGACACGCTGGTTTATTGTAGGAGTGAATTGGAATATGGATATGGATACCGTCAGCGTGAGAGTTAATGCTGTCAGCAGCATATTTTACTCAAAAGTGGGTGATGCCTAAAGCTAACCACTTAGTTTTTTGTGTCAGATGTTATATCCCAACCTCTCCCAAGCTGTGCATCTTAGGTGACATAATGAAGTAGATATAGAAGTATTTACATCACTTATACTCACTTCCTAATGCATCGCTAAGAAGACTATCCTCATGCACCGGAAATCCAAAAAAAAAGTATGTACTAGTCAATACAGAAATTTACTTCTGGAGAGAATGTCTTCCTCCTCAAAAAACCCAAATGGATAAATTTGTTTCTCTCTGGTTCCCACTGACCAATTACATTACTTAGTGAGGGTGATCAGCTGTAGTCTCGTTTGCCTGTATGCCTTGCAGGTGGATGAACGTGTTCTCTGGGACTACTGGGGTAGTGTGCATCAGTCAAAGCAGGGAAGTCTTGTCTGCACCTTGGGGACTCATGCGTGCCCACAGGCCCTTTGGGTGGGGTGTCCAGGTAAGAGACATCCGTTTCTGGGTGCAGTTTGTCTTAGACCCAGACCAGTGTGTCCATTTACTGTGTGTCTCTGTCTCACCCTGTCCTCTGGGGTTCCCAATCTTTGGTCATGGGTGCCCGATCTAGAACCCCCCTCCTTCTCCTGCTGGGACGTGTACACAGATATCACCGAGATGTGTGACCTCAGGTCCTCAGTACTCTTGGGGGCTGCGGATGGCCCGGTTTTGCCAGATCTACCTCTGGCTCCTAGAGGCTGTTATTCAGGCATCACGCTCATTTGAAAGTATATTTTGTGACACACGAACTCACACTTGACACTCTCTCTCTTTCACACTCACACACAAAGACCCCACAAGACGGTTGTTGATTTATATACCTGTGCATTTTGTAGTTTTTGTGTTGTAAGTGCTGTTTGTTTGTTTTTCATTCCAGGTGCAGCAGTTGGCAATATGTTTTAAATTTCTATTTGTT